AATTTAAGGATATTAGGCTCAGCAAAGCATTACATAATTGAATCTATTTTTTCCCTCATAAATGCCAGAGTTATAATTTCCACTAACTAGAGACAAAGTTATATCCAGGACATGTTCACAGCTTCCTCCAGGGGAGGCAGCATGAAGACAGTAGAAATTAGGGCTCCAGTCCTCACCGAGTTTCAGCTGGGAGAGCCTCGCTACAGCACATAACCCCAGTGAGCCTCAGTTTCTTCAACTAAAAAGCAAGACAGTATCCATGACTTTCCCAGGAGGAGTAAATGATATAAGAATGTTTGTAAAGCGTAAAGCGCAGAACAAAGATAGATTGACATCACCCCTCAGTTTATGTATGAAACGCCTAATAAACTTCAGAGACAATGAAATCTAAAGCAAAATATGAAATCACTGGCACACCTACGGGATGGGTTTTATACAGGAAGCAAAGATTTATAGTACCTTCTTTTAAGCTGCCAAGGCTAGCAAATGTCAAATCCAGAAATAAGAAGATTTCAACTGTTTTCTTGCATTTTGCCCACTGGCTAACTCATGCTATTATCTGTCTATGTAGACCTCTATCTCTGGACATAGAACACTCTGACAATGTACAGAAAACCATGTTTCTGTATGTCAGATGCCAAAAGCTCCGATTACAAATCTCTAAGTCCAGGACTCAACGGCTGCTGAGGAAGGCAGGTACTGTCTGTGGAGGAGCTGGAGGGGCCAGAGAGAGCTTGTAAATCATTCTCAAAGGGGTCACTATGTGGTCTTTGAGATAGTATCAACTGTCAGCTCACACCTTTGGGTGGGTGTCTCCCAATCATCATCTTTTACTCAGAGAAACATAAGCACTATGTAATGCTTACTCTGAGCATCTACTTATGGTTTTTTAAAGCCACTAAATGTGAAGTACATAGGTTAAGACGGACCAATTTCTTATTCATAAACACAGTGAATATTTAGAATGCATGCAGAAAACATTTCTATAACAAAGTATTCTTAGAAGATACGTTCCATACAATGGTTTTTATTGATCGCTAAAATAATTTGAGAGAATTTTAAGAAATATGAACTCCAACTCTACTTCTGTAGATCTAATCTATCTATCTATGTATAATACCTACCTACCTACCTATCCATCATCCCAGTCGCTCTTTCTCCCAGTAAATGGTTATTTGTAACCATTGTTTTCTTAGGTGGACCAGAGCACATTACAAAGTGACTGGGTGCTATTGCAAGTGCTTTGCAATTATCTACTTGCTGGTCACATCTATTATATTGTGGTTCACTAGGTTTGGAGGGAAAGATGGGAGAAAAAGGAGTCTAGCGAGAACTACTAATATATTTACTCACATATTTATTAGGTCCTTAAAAACCCTAAAATTTTAAATCACGCACACATATTTTTTTAAAAGACATTTCTATTTAGAGATTGCATTATTTTATAACCGGGCAGCACTGGAGAAGTTATGTGGTTCTCATTAAATAGAAGGTGAAGATGTTTGCTTGAATATGATGCTGCTTTATATTTTAAGTAATGTGATTGAAATACATAAAATCAAGAGGCTGCCTGTCAAAATGGTGCTTTTAAAATATTCTCTACTTCACAGGGATTCCAAGCTCCCACTCCTCCCCTGGAAAAATGGATTCAGAGATCCTCTTTGTCTTTAAAAGGACTATCTGCTCCTTGCCCGATAAGCACTCTGCTCAGTGAAGCAGCCTTTTGGGTTTCCTCTTTTCAAGATGGGGCCATCACCATCTCCCAATCCTGCCCATGGAAGGTCACAAAAATGGTACAACAATCCTACCTAGGGGATCCATGACATAGTGCTTCAAAGAAAATCAGGGGTAAAATCCAAAACTCATTTTGTAAAAAGCAAAGCCAAATTATTCAAAACTACAAATCAAATTTATTAAGAGTTGGAAATGCTGCCAATCACCAGCCTATATAGTATTCTCGATGTAGCAAGGTGCCTTACGTTTGTGCTAGAATTGTATTGGAGAAGAATCTATAATGGGACAGAAATTCCCTTTAAAACTTCCCTCTCAACCCTCCATTTACATGAACACAGGCTGCGGGCTCCCCAGAAGCCAAAGGTGTACACAATCTGCTGAAACTGATGAAGCACTTGCATTTCCTTTCAGCACTCGGCTGCCGCCTGACATTTGGCCAACGCACTTTTATGATGGGCAGGCCAAGTGCTCTAAGGATTTAAATGTTACCGCTGGCTCTCTCCATTTGCCCAAGAGGCAATCCAAATGGTATTGGGATTTTGTTGTTAATTAAACAACAAAACTGAAGGATGAGACTAGCGTTGCTCAAATGAAGATTTATTACTTCTAAGCATGAAACCACTTTAAGCCTAAACTTATTTGACAACTAACACAGAGGAAGGGTTTTCTTCTTTGGTGAGTTCAAAAGGCCCGATTTAATGATGTTTAAAAAACAACAGTAAATCAGCCAACAAAGAGAATGTTTCTCTTTTATGGTGGCTTGTTCTCTACTTGGCTGTGCACATGCATACACATACCGAAAAGCTATATTGTAAAGAGAGTTTCTGTTTTGCATGAAAACTCTTAATTGTACAAACTCTTACATGTGGAACCAATTTAACTATTAATACGGAGAGGCAGTGGGGAAGTATTTTATATGATTCTGGGTCATTTCCCTCCACCCTGTTAAATCTGATACGGGAACATTTACAGCACTCCTCGTTTTCCCACAATTATTTTTCTTTAGTTTAAATTTGTACCCAAGCAAGATAATCCCATTAAAACACAGGATGTTATGATATTGGGGATAAAATATCCTCATTATTTAGAGGCATTATAATTCTATTTCTCTTTCAGGCTTACTGAAAAACTGCATTGCCAGTACTCCTGAGCTGATTTTCTCGAAGCACGATACTCCGAGTCCATTATCTTGTGGCAGCCAGAGGTCACTCCAAGACAAATGTGGGGATGATGATGATGGGGGTGTCATTCTCATGATTATATTAGTGAGGGACAGGATGGAAGTTCACTTTGTACTAGTATTATAAGAGAAAAAAAAAAGCCTAAGTACTTGGAAATGTCAAAATTAAAATATTAAAGCGTTCTGTATTGTTTGGTTACTGTTCATTCAGGGAAATGGTCTTAGCTTCTCGCCCACCCTTGTGTCTCAATCAGAGCCAATTATACTAAATAAAATGGATTGGGGTGGACATTGGCACCTCCCAAATAGCAAAATCTATTTTATAACTTAAAAGAAGTGAAAGAAAATGTCTGAACTACAAAGGATATTTGACTCATTTTATTCTTACAAGTTTAATGAAATGCAGGAAACAGAATAAAAGAGATTTTTTTGGGGGGGGGGGGACATATATTTCTTTTACCTAGAAGTCGGTAAGAAAAATCTTAACACTTTTTCTTTCCAAAAGGATCCTAAGTGCTTAAGAACGTGAATCACAGGGAGGTTTCTTCTCTCTGTACTTCATCAGTTGCATATCCTAAAAGTGATTAAATCCTATTTCCCGAAAGTCACAGGAGAAAAAAGAAATTTTGCTGTGGGCACGTTGTAGAATTTCATCTCAAGCAGCTCATCGCAGCGTCCAGGACGTTTCGGGGCCTGTTAATAATTAATACAAGAGATGCCACCCAATCTCTAGCGAAGAGAGGCAAAGCTCGGGATCCGAAAGCAAACCCAGCGCAGATATCGAACCGGGCGCCCTTCATCCTGGATTGCAACAAAACCTCAGCCCGACAAACATTTCACGAGCGGCGCCCGCACGGAAGGGGGAACCCGCAAGACAGTCCGGATCTGCAAAAACGCTGCGCATTAGGGGGGCCCGGTCCGCGGCGAACAGATGGGGCTCTAAATCCCCGCGGCCAGCGGCCGGGGCTGCGAAGCCGCTCAGGCGGATTATCCACCCCAGGAACCTGCTGTCGCCGGAGCCGGCGGCGCGCTGCGGGCGGAGTGTCTGCCGGGCTGTTTGCAACAGTTCCGGGAGCGCGCCTGGGTCGCTCCAGGCCGCACGGGGGGGCGGCTTCCAGCACACCTCCAAACTTTGGCTTTCCCCATCACAAACTTCCTTGACTTGCTGCGGTTTATTTCCTCCTCACCTGAGAGGACCTGGAGCTAGTCCTCTCTTCCACCCGTACCCCCTGCCATCCTTGCAACCAACCAGCTTGGCTGCGGAGTCCTGATCGGGGCTAAGGCCGGTGGTGGGTGGGGAGGCTTGGCCGCGTCTCACCAGCGCCCGCCGGCCCTCACCGCCCTCTAACCTCTAGCAGCGTTCGCAAATCCACACCCCGAAGTATGGAGTTGGGGTGCGCTGCGGCTGCGGAGAGGCCGCCGAGGGAGCGCCTTGGCACGCTCCGGGCGCCCGGCTCCCTCCCCCGGGCCCGGGCCCTTTCGGAAGCCGCAGCGGCGGGACGCGGCGCACACTCGCTGCACTCCCCCGGCTGCCGGGCCGCCGGGGCGGAGGGCGCCAGGCCCGGGGCGCTGACCATTCCGGCCCCGGGGATGACACCGCGTCCGCGCGCGCGCACGGCCCGCCCGGCCGCGGAGCCTTCCCCGCGTAGGCCGTGGCCGTCCCGGGTGCGGGCCTCGGAGACCGGCCTCGGGCGCCCTGCCGCGGGCACCCCCCACCGGCTTCCTCCGAGTTCCCGCGACCTTCCCTTCCTTCCCGAAGCGCGGCGGCGGCCGGCAAAGTTTGTTGGGGAGCCCCGCCAGGTGCCGGCGGACCCGGGCCACTGACAGGAGCCGGACGGGGCGGAGGAAGGCGGTCCGCCCCGTGCGCCTTGGCCCCGCGCAGGCGGCGGGCAGATCCCGCGGCCGGGTTCGGAGGGCGCCGCCGCCGCACTGGCCCAGGAGGCCCCGGCGGGGCTCGGGCGCCCGGCCGCGGGCGGTACGTGCGCTCGGGCAGGCGCGCCCCTCCTCCCCCTGCGCGCCCGCCCGCCTCCCCGCCCCCCGGAGCCGCCAGCCAGCCCACCCGGCCCCGGCGGGGCGCCCGGCTCACCTTTCATCGCTGCGATCACAAAATACATCATTTACGCCGCGGTGCGGAGAGCGCAGGGAGAGCGGACGGTCCGGCCCCGGAGCCCCCTCTGCCGCCGCCGCGCCGCCGCCGCCGCCCGAGCCACAGCAGCAGCTGCCGCAGCTGCCCGCCCGCCGAGAGCCATCCCGAGCCATAAGAGGCTCCATGTGACCGGCTGACATCACGGCCGCCGCTCTGTTTACACCGCGCCCCTCCGCTTCCTCCCCGGGCGGGAGGCGGGAGGCGGGAGGCGGGCGGGAGGCGGGAGGCTGGCGCGCCCGAGCGCCGCGCCCGCCCCGCCCCCGCGTGCAGGTGAGCGGCGGGGGCTGCGGCGGCGGCGGCTGCTCCGGGCGCAACCGGGCCCCGCGCTGCCCGCCCGCCCGCGCCCCCGGCCCGCGCCCGGGACCCCGGCCTCCTCCTCGCCTCCGTGAGTGCCCGTGGCCGCCAGGGCTCCTTCTGTGCGCGGAACTCGCGCCGGACCACTTTCTGCCCCAAGTCTGCGGGGCAAGAGGCACGCAACCTAATGCAATTTTCTCGATCCCTTCCCGGAGCCCCCAGGGGTGTTAAATGCTCAGGCTAGTCAGCGGGAAAGAGGGGTTTGGTCTGGGGGAGCCATAGGCAGCCTCAGTGCCCATTTTCCAGAGCGTCCCAGGTCTAGAAAGGAGTTCCCTTCTGATACATGGAGAACGTAGTCCAGGGGAGAGAACTAAGTGCCTCCCAAAGCCTTCCCAGAGAGACTCAGCCTGCGCAGAGGGAATGCTTCTGCCCAGACATTGGTCATTCTCATCGCACCAACAATGAAGGCCTTGGTCCATTACTCATTACCCCCCTCCCCAAGCCCCCCAACTACTGACACCTGGAAGAAGGGCTCCTATAGTCCTAGGCACTTCCATATCTTGGGTTCCATCTCTGAGAACTCATCCACAAATGGAAAAGGCTCCAGTTTTCAAACCCTAAACATGGGACTCTGTGGTACTTTGGACAGGAAAGAAAGAAAGTCCTCTAAAGGTTAACTGTGCATTTTAACTTGCAACTAAGCTTAATTCCTTCCAAACTTTGAAGCTTAATCCTTTTTACTGGCTTTAAGGAAACTTAAATCATGACATTATTATCAGATGAATCTCTTTACCGCGAATTTCAGATGCTACCTACCCAGAATCTGCATTATTTAACATTTCATCAGGCATGTCTGTAGTATTGGAGCATAACAGAAAAACGTATCGAAACCCACGTTTTCATACCTATTATTGTTCCTTCAATTCTGCTTTCTTTTCTGATGGTCTGTTTCCATTTACAGCGTAAAATATTAGATGGCTATTTTTTGTTGCACTCATGGTGAGTAAACAGTTAGAGATCTAGAATTTTTCCCCCCCCCATATAGCTGTGTTGTCCTTGACCCCAGAGCTGGGTGGTAATTTAAAACACACATAGACAATCAGCACCATAGAAAGCTAGAATCATACCCTGCCCACCCTTCTCTCTTTTCAAGGCAAAATACACACAGACCTCTGATTTAGAAGGTCAAAAGAATGTCATTATACCTTAAACCAAGTCATTGCTTTATAAAAGTTTGATTTCAGTTAAAGTCACCCTAATGCAGTTTTTCCTTTAGAATAATTTTCCAAATAAAACCACAAAAATAAGAAAAGCAGTCATGAAAAAGCGAAGCCAAGACCTACCCATGTTAACTCAGCTGTCCAGCCATAGCGAAGTGGACAAGAGTTTCAAATGAATCAATCATACCCTCTGTGATGCTTATAATTATGAAATTAAATCACACCATGTTCCCATGATGCAACTGCATCTCCAGTGAGGCAACACCTCTCGATTACCCTGTCATTCATAGTTGGTTCTTGATTTCCCTTGTGCTAAGAACTTTAACAAGGAAGGCCAATGCCAAGCTATTCTTTAGGTAGGTCCCTGGTACCATTTTTCTTTCCTTTATACTGTTGAACGATGGGAAACCATACCATCAGAGACTGTATGCTCATAGGTATGGCCTTCCATACTCATGGCAATTGAATCCAGATACACAACTGTGAAAATTCACAATGCTACTTTTAAACAGTATCCTGCTTTAGAAAACAATGCTTTGAAAATTACCAAATCCATTAGCTTGAGCCTACCTGTCAGCTCTCTGACTCCAAGGTAAATAGTCTTACATTATTAGTAATTGGTATTTATTTCCAGGCTATTTCAAATGAAATCGGTAATTGGGAATGACATGTAATGTGACATGTTCCTGCAATTACATGTAGCAGAATCATTCATTCTATAGGTATGTCTCCAATGGAAATAGAATACTTATTTGAATTATTTACACATTTATTCAACAAAGATGTCTTCAGGATAATGTAATACTGACCTTGCCCTTTAGAAATGTATTTCATTCTCATCCCACAACTAATGAGCAGCAGAATCGCAGATATTAAGTCTTCACCTTCTTGGGTACCTAGATGATATTGGTAAATAGGACTCTATGAACTGTCTTCAGCATTTAACCCAGGGTATATGATATTGTTCTTTATATTAAAACTCTTGTGAAACTTTGAAATTAAAAAAAATCTAATAAAACACAAATTTTCTATGGAATTGTAAGTCCTCAACCAAATAAATCAGTCAGGAATGAAAAGATCCATATCTTCCTTCAACACCACCAAACTGGAGCAATAAATGTTGCACATTTCAGGGCAAACTTTTACCAACTACATATATGATAATGTAGGGATAATTATTTGGATGATATTCAATGCTTATGGAATACCAATGATGGGGGAAATATTGTTTCCATTAAAAGTTAGTTTACCAAGCTTTCTGAAAAAAATAGACTATCCTTTACATGAAGAGAATGAAACAGGATGGGAATTCTTGACCATGATATGTTATACATTAATTGTCAGCTTAAATGTTTTTACTGACTAATCTCAGAAAAAGAAGGCACACGTGGAATTCAACTCAGAGTCCTCTAGATACCGAGACAACCCCACATGGTGTCCCTACATACTGGGTTTCACAGTGGATCTGTCACTTAGCAGGGAAGCGGAGAAACACACTGATGCCAGCTTGTTCCCCAGTGCCTCTGAGAAAAGCCTGTGTGTTTCCGCAGGGTTCCGGATTGGGGTATCGTCAGTAACTTGGTGCTAGTCTTTGCACTTTCATGGGGTGAAATAAATGATCCTTGATTTTGTGAGAGTATATTTGTTTTTCTTATAAATGGGGCATAAGCTTATGATGTATACCACCTTAAACCACAAATACAGTGCTACTGTGGAGAATGGCAAACCAATGGGTTGGCAAATCTATCACGAGTTGGCCAGCGGCTTCCAGTACAAAGATGATTTCAAAGTCTGCTGATGTACATGAGAGAGAGCATTTTGGCTCTGTGGTTCTATTTCGCCGGGGCCCCGATTTTCTCTCTCTCCAGTGTGTGGCAGCTTGCTAATTCAATTAATTTCTTTCTAGCTGAACAAGAAAGGGATCAGGGAGAGGTTAATGTGGTCCTAGGCAGCTGGGTTCTGAAGCATCCTGCGCCGCCACTGCACTGTGAGCTGTGGGAGTCCGGCTCTTCGGGCCGCAGAGAGCCGGTGAGCAGGTTTCCCACAGACCAAACAGGGTCAGACCCAGCGCGTTCTAAGCAAGACTTCTTGGGAAACCACAGAGAATGCGCAAACTTACCCGCAATAGATCGCGGCCTTGCTTAATTTTGCGTGGAAGGAGCCAGTGTCTCCTATGGGGACGTTTATAAATGGAACACTGCTGGTGAGGCCTGGCCCCCCAAAGGGACAGAGGGGCCCCTCTTTAGGAGTGTTAAGGGGGAGGGGATGAGCAAGTTAACACAGCTTATCTGTCTTACAGGCTTCTCAACCAAATATAGAAGTAGGTTTCAATGTACACGCAGGTATGTATATACATACACAGTCCATGAAGTAGGGCAAAATGAGCTATTTTGGTGGTGAGAAACATCTTCAATTTTACACACACACACACACACACACACACGCACACACTTCACATGATCAACCATATTAACCGAATTCCTTTTATGCACCTGGCGCGATAACTGGAAAGGTCCCACAAGAACAAGACAATAGCCCTGATCTTGAGAAGCTTACTAATCTGCTGACCTTGGCTCTGAAACACCTAGAGAGAAGTCAGTTTCCTGCGTCCCTCTGAGCATTCCTAAAGGAAGGCGGTGTCTGGCTGCTCATGGAAAAGACATTTGCACAGCGTGTTGCCCCTCACCGTTGATAGATGGCCGCAAATAATTAGTGTGGCTTTTGTGTAATGGGCTGTTGGAGGTGAAAGATTTGGCTGAGTGGAGACAATGGTGAAGGGATTCTGAGATTTCTGGAACCCAATGTCTCATACATCTATTAGGAAATTCAAGAACTTGCAGATGTTTTGTAACCCTCACAATGAGGGAAAGGGTAAAGTTCACAGGCAAACAGACCTGAGCAACCTCCAGAATAGGTGGATAGCAGGTGCCTCACTATACACACACACCTGCCAAGGAAGGACATGCGCGTCAGAGGCCAGAGGGACATCTGCTCTTGTGTTCCTAAGAGTGTTCTCACCCCATTCCTATGGCTGGCAGTACAACAGGCCATTCGAGAAATCAAGATTTTTTTTTTACTTAAAGAAATATGGGAACTAGACAGGAACTCACAACCTGATGACCTGGATTCAAGTCTCATCCTTGCTGCTAGCTTTCTGCTTCAGCATGGGCAAACCACTTCACCTCTCAGGATATCGTCCCCTTTCCTGTGGAATGAATGAATGGGAACAGGCCTCAAAGGTCTCCTGCAACTCAAAACATCCTGTAACTATTTTAAGGGTCATGTTCCACCCATTTCTCTGGGACACATTAATCTCTTTCTCTCTGCTGCACCATTTATTCCATTGGACTGCATGGTATAGTACCCTGGTCAGCGAACTGTGGCTCTTTGGCCCGTTGAGTGTGGCTCTTCCACAAAATACCATGGCCTGGGCAAGTCTATTTTGAAGAAGTGGCCTTAGAAGAAGTTTAAGTTTAAAAAATTTGGCTCTCAAAAGAAATTTCAATCGTTGTACTATTGCTATTTGGCTCTGTTGACTAATGAGTTTGCTGACCACTGGTACAGTAGGATGATCTCTGGCATTAGACAAAGTTGGGCTCAAAACCAACCTTCATCCCGCTCACTAGCTGAGTGATATTGAGCAAACCTTTATTTT